CCCAGGGGGGTTGTAAGGGGGGAGGGGGGGGGGTGAGGACTTGGGAAGATTTGAAAGATTCTGCTGCTGGACTTCTCCTGAAAATGCCGCCGCAGGCTTGCTTCCTTCCGCTGCTTTACTTGGCCAAAAACTATTATTATGGGGGGCCCCCCACCCCACAGGCAGCTGCCTAGACACCCCAGCGCTGTACAGACACCCCGACGCCCGCCGCTGCTGCTGCTGCGCTGCTGCTGCTGCTGCTGCTGCGGCGGCGGCGGCGGCGGCCAAGCGCGCAGAAACGACTAGCAGCGGCGCTGCAGCTGCTGCAGCTGCTGCAGCTGCTGCAGCTGCAGCAGCAGCGGCGCTGCAGCTGCTGCAGCTGCTGCAGCAGCAGCAGCAGCAGCGCACTTTGTGTTCCTAGAGGCTCCGAGGCGAAAGGCCCACAGAGCCCACTGGCTGACAAAACAAATCAACTGCGAAAATTAACTTTAGCAAACATGAAACTGCAGCTCCTGCGGTGTACGTACACCCCAAATACCTCTGCTGCACGCACTAGTAGGCCTGCAGCAGCTGCTGCTCCGACGCTGCAGCAGCAGCAGCAGCAAAAGCAGCAGCAGCAGCAAAAGTAGGCTCGAACGAAATAGGACTAAACAGCAGCCGGGCAAAGAGCAGCACCGGGACTCGGCTTTTGCTGCTGCTGCAGGAAACTGAATAAGCAGCTAGCTAGCCATGAAGAGGCACAACGAAGCGAGGGCAGCAGCAGCAGCAGCAGCTGCTGCTGCTGCTGCTGTTTCTTCTTGCTGCTTCTGCGCGAGCTTGAAGCGCTTGCAACAGCTGGCCCTCTGCGCCGGAAGGGGGGGGATCAAGCTGCTGCAGCAGAGCAGTTTTTGCTGCTGCAGCTGCAGCCCACTTTTTGCTGCAGCAGCGCAGCTCATGCTGCAGCAGCGCAGCTCGTGCTGCAGCAGCTGCGCAGGGTGCCTCTCAGAGCCCTAAGTGCTCTAGGCAGCTGCAACAACAGACTTTGCTGCTGCAAGTAGTCTCTTGGCCCAACGCATTAGGCCGTTCGCCTTCGGCCTTTAGTTGCTGCTGTGCTGCTGCGCTGCTGTGCTGCTGCGCTGCAGAGCTCAAACTCTGCAGACTCTGGCTCAGCAGCAGCCCAGCGGCCACCCCTGGCTAGCCAGCTGGCTAGCTAGCTAGCTAAGCTTTGGCATCGCGTAGGAGCATGGGTTGGCTGTAGCTAGCTCAAGCGCAGATCTTGCAAGCATAGAAAGATGAAATGCTGCACCACAGCCGGGAGTTGAAAGCTGCTGCTGCAGCTCCCCCCCCAAATGGCATTAGAGAAGGGCTTGGAGGTGCTATAAACACAAAAGACAATGTTTAGGATTTAGAGTTTGGAGATGAGTGGGAAAGCTTGCGGTTCAAGCTCGCAGTTCAGCGCTAAGTAGTCACTGCGCTGCTGCGGGAGCGGAATGCAAGCAGCCCAGTGCAGCCGCTGCAGAGAAGAAAAGTTCCACTTTCCCCCATTTTCCTTTAATGTTGCGAAATAATTAAAAATTAAGTCCTTGTGCAGATTAGTTTGGAGTCTGAGGCGCCCGCTGACTGCGGTGCTGCTGCAGCTGCCAGGGTCACCTTGAAGTGAAGGGCTCGGCCGGGCGGCAACTGCGCGCCGCAGGAGTTCCTTTGTTTCAACTGGATCAAATTACATTTTCAAAAATGATGTTTTAAAAGAATCTTTTCATTTGGGCCGCGCGCATGCACCACTGAGACACGTTGCCGGCGCCCGGAGGCGCCACTGGTGCTGCTGCGCTGTGAAATCGGAGGGAAGCGCCGAGCCAACTGAGGAGCCTTTGAAAGATCTGCATTAAAAAGTCTGCAGAAGTTGCCTTTTGCATAAATGCGATTCTTTATTATTTCATCTTATTGCTGTGGATTGTTTGGGTCGCTTCGTGGTGGGCGGCGGCCACTGGTAGCCGCCACGGGAAACTGAACATAGGGAAACGCAGCGGCCTCAGGCGTCTTCAGTTTTCCAATTAGGCAATTTTCCCGCGATTAATTGACTTCTTAGGAATGCAAAGACGCAAAAGGATTTACTGGACTGAACAACACGCGGCAGGTTCAAGAACAGCTGCTGACGGTGGTGTGCAGAAGGTTCCTCGAGTTGAATGGCCAACTTGCAAAGGACGGAGTTGTGCCCGCGGAGCAGCAGCATCTGTACATTTCTATGAATTGCGAAACTGCTGAGAAATCCCTTTCTTTTTGCTTCTCCGTGACCACTGGACTCCCGAGAAAACGCATGTCCAGAGCCCCATCCTATGACCGCCGCTGTACAGTTTCAGCCCACCTAGGCGATTCTTCTAGTTAGCTTCTGCTCGTAGACTTTCAGTGGCAGCTTCCGCCGCCTCTCTAGCCAGAGAAAAGTCTAATATGGGGCAGCTGCTGTCGCTGGGGCCCTCGGGGCTTCCATTTGAGCTCCAAGAAGAAGGAGCCAATATGTGGCACGCGCTCATATGGGGCGTGGCAATTGGGCAGATCGTCTTGGGGATTTTGTACAACATTTTCGCCGGCGAAAACCCGTGAGAAACTGCCAGAAGAAGCAGCTTTGCAGCAGCAGTTCAAGCACGCCGCGGCGCCTGTAGCTGGGCGCTGCCTGCTAGATCCGGCACTTGTTTCTTCTTTCTCAGCCCCTTTATCTTCCCCTCTGAGCCCCTTTAACGCTAATAATGCATTAGGATGTGTATTCTGCATGCAGGCTCCCTTGGGGAAGGTTTCGGAGCCGCACGAGCCCCCAGTGGGGCCCGCTGGTGCCCACCTGGGCGGCGTGGATGCTGCAGGAATTGCCTTCCGCACTTATACCTGCTGCTGTGCTTCTGTGGTCTCAGTTTTGCCACGGTGGGTGTAGCAGCAGCAGTAGTGGCTGTGGCGTTGGCTGCTGCGAAGAGTTCTGCTGGGTTCAGCAGCAAGCGAAGCTGCTGCGGCAAGCTGCTGCTGCTGCTGCTGCGCGCCAGGCCCCTAGGCTTTGCTTAGATGCTCCAGAAGACTGTTTTCGAGGCGTTTTCGTGCAGGAAAGCTGCTTAATTTGATCGTCGTGGCGGCTTTCACGGCGCACTACTTGCACCGGGTGTTCATCTACTCGCTGCGGCACTACCGCTTTCCAGAGTGCCGCCGGCGCGACACAGTGCCGCTGCTGCTGCCGTTGTCAGCTTTTATGTTTTGCTTCGCAAACGGACTGGCGCAGAGCCTCAGCGGCTGCTACTTCAGCTACGCGCGGGAAATGCGCGGCCTGCGCTACCTGCTTCCCCGCTGGGCGCCGCAGGAAGACAGCGACTTGGAGCTGCTGCAGAAGACCAGCCTGTGGGACACGCTGGCGCTGCTGCGTTTCGCAGCGGGGCTGGTTATTTTCGTGTACGGAATGGCTGTGAACATCCTCGCAGACGAGCACTTGCTGCAGCTGAAGACAGTGCGCGCGCAGGAGGCCGCAGCGCCGCACAGCGCCGCCGCTTCCCCCAAAAACAACGAAGGAGTTGTCACTTTGAGAAGGTCTTCACGCATTGCGGCCAAAAAGGACGGAGATAACTTCGTCACTTTCAAGTACAACGCCCACCCGCACGGCGCAGGCCTCACTGCGTACAAGATCCCGCGCTGGGGGTGGTTCCAGCAGGTTTCTTGTGCGAACTACTGGGGAGAAATCTGCGAATGGTTCGGTTTCGCAATCATGTGCAACTCTGTAGTTGCTTTGTCCTTCGCTGTCTTCACTCTTTTGTTCCTCGGACGCCGCGGAGTCCAAACGCACAAGTGGTACAAAACCCGATTCGCAGGGAACTACCCAGAAAACCGCCGCGCGGTTATTCCCTACGTACTGTAACTAATATTTTATTTGTACTTGTTAAAATGTGGGAGTCTCGCAACATCACGGGCCGCACGCTTCATATTGAAAGGTCACGGACCACTGAGTGCAGCCAGAGGCGCGGCTCGCTCGCTCCATTTGCTGTTGTTCTTTAGGCTGAGCCGTAGACAAGTGCTTAGACAATTGAAAATAATTAAGTGTAGTGCCAAATTTGACTTGTCTGTCGCGCGATCTAGGCGCCAACAGCTTACCACGACTTCCGGGCGCCCGCTACAGGGAAACGGAGTGAGCGAGGCCCGGAGAGGCAGTAGTACACGGCGCTTCTTCTCTCTGTTTTTTTCTTTTTGAGCACTTATTGCTTATTGTGAATTTATATACAACTTTTAACCGTAGGAGAACTGCGAGCTCGCAGTTTCACTCTGCTGCCACAGAAGCCTCCGCTCTGTGGCGCCGCCGCCTCTCGGACACGCGCCCGAATCCAAGGAGCTTTAATTTAGAGCCCAAGGCACTTCTGCATTATTTTTTCGCGTTGAGTCGGCAACTCCGCAGAGAAATCTACGCGCTTTACGCCAAGAAAATGCGCAGCAGCCCCCAGCAGCAGACATCTGTATCAGCATGACTGTGCAGCTCTCCGCGGGAGCAGACCGGTCCACCTCGCTACGAGTTGCCGCAGCGGAAGCCCCGGGACTTTCGCGCCTTGGCCTCAATTTCCAGCATTAATAAACGCATTAAAGCCAAGTGACACAAGAATAGAGGAAATCTGCCTCCCCCCAGTCCCCAGCAGCCGGCCCCTGAGGGTCATTGGGCAATGAATAAGCCGCGTGTTCCCGGCGCGCCCAAGCTCCGCGGCCCGGGAAGAACACACTTATTCGAATAAAAATTAAGAGGCAGCCACGCTTCTAGCGCATGCACAGTGCCGCGCCGCCGCCGCCGTTCGCCGCAGCCCCGCCAGCGAAGCCGGCGGTCCAACAAATCGCTAAGCACGCAGAGGCGCTCGCTCGCCCGTTCTGTCCTGCTTTCGCTGCGCCCCCTACCCCCCCTGTTCTAGGCGATCTCGTGCACTACAGCCAACAAAAAAACGCTAAGTTTCTGGCGCGCTCCGTAGCAGCAGCGGCCCCGGGGGGCCGTGGCTGGCTGGGGCCTCCGCCGGGGCGCATGCAGATTAGCAGAGCCGTAACTCAGCCCTTGGTGCTGTCAAGCTACCCTTGCGAGGCCCCGCGAGCGGCGGCTCGGGCGCCGGCCCCACTGACATGCAGCAGGGGGGCTTTCTCGTTCGAGGTTTCTTGTTTGCGGTCACACGGCATACACCTGAAAGTTGCAGAAGGGCACTACCTCTGCCTCTTGGCGGCCGCTTCGGGCTGGCATTTCTTCGCGTTCCTGGCCCACGTTCTGGCCTTCCGGCCGCAGGGGCAGCAGCTGCTGCTGCAGCTGCTGCTGCAGCTGCTGCTGCGGATGCGGCGAGCCGGCCGCTAGTGTCGGGGGGGGGTGCTGAGTGGAGGAGGCCTTGGAATACAGCTGCCGAATGGGCTGCTTCTCCGGCCTCCAAAGAAAAATGGTTTCTTCGAACGGAGAGATCAGACTGGCCCCGTCACTGTACGGGCCTGTGCCCAGAAACTCCCGCACTGGCAGCCTGTCCTGCAGCGGCAGCGGCTGCGCAGGCGGCGCTGCAGGCGGCGGCACGAACTCTGCCAAGTGCATCCAGTGGTCCTTGAAGGGCGCACAGGGTGGCTGGTTGTCGTACAAGGCACAAAGAGTATCCGCATCGAAGCACGACTCTGGGGCTTTGGCCCACATCGACTCGCACGCGAACAGCCACAAGGTGTGCACCTTCTTCAAGTGTTGAAACGACCTTTCCCTACCAACGCAAGACCACAAAAACGCCTTTCAGTGCACAACTTGCGGCCAAGAGCCTCAAGACTCGGCCAGCGCTGCAGATCTGCATGCACACTACTTGCTGCCAAACAGCTCTCGCTGCCGCGCCTTCGCGCCAAGACCCACTTGAGTGCCAGCATGTTATTAGTGTTGCTCTTTCCTGCCATCACATGAGTCACGCCGGGCTCGTCGAAGCGTCTGTACACCGTTCGCCCCAAACGCTGGGCCAGCTCGGCTTGCCTCTCTTCACAGTCAGCTACCAAACTGCCGGGTGCAAAGGACTTCCTGTAGCCTGTCAGGAACAAGCCAACACCGGCTAGCACGCGTGACTGAAAGCCGCTTATAATTGTGCCAACGCTGAGAGCCACAGAAAACCGCAACCACACAACAACACCTGAGCTTCAGACAGACGGAGCCGTTTCGCACACGCACAGAAGCGCCGGCAAGCAGCACAGTTTCCTCAACTCGCCCGCAGGCCTTCACAGGCAACTCCAAACGGCTACCCCTTAGCGAAGCAGAAAGAGTACAGCAGAAGCTGTTCGTTGCGGGGGATGCTGCCTTTAGGGCATGCAGCTATGCAGCAAAACGCCGCTTTTCGCTGTCTCACTTGGCGTTCCAAGGATCCTTGAAGAATTCCTGGTGGACCTTTAGGAATATATTAATCATGTGCTGCATGTGTCTGTCCCAATCATAAGGTCTGTTCAAGTGTTTCATTGCAGCTGGGACCGGTGAAGGCCTGTCTAGAGCCGTGGCCCTTTGCCTCGGGTTTTCAGCTATTGCGGCTAACGTTTCCTCTAAGGGCAAGTGAGGGTAGTGGGCTAGCAACTCAGGCCTCGACGAGTCAAAGAAATCGTAGTGCTGCGCCTTCACCACGTGCGAAACGGGCAGATCCGTCCAAATGTTCTGCCGGTCATCAAAAGCAACAACACACCGGCGGTCCAGGTCCCCGTACAGACACCGCACCGTTTTGTTTTCCGTCTGTTCTCCTCTTCCCGACGACTCCCGCGCAACAATGCTGCAGAAAAGCACCCACAGGCAAGCACAGGCCTTATGCAGAGGCCCCTGGCATTTGCACTTGTGCAAACAGCAAACAGCTGCACTGCATGCGCGCCCGCAGCCAGAGACTGCCGCCACAAAATGCCACTTTCAAGAAAAGCCAATGCAGCCAAACGCGGCCCCCAACGAGCTGCGCCGCCTCCTCAAAAGCAGCGAAAACAAATGCACAGCAGCACCTGCTGCACACACTGCCCAGCGAGCAGCCTTAACAGATACATTTGCCTGAATTCAGGCCAATGGCCCTTCCCCATCGCCAATAAGATGAAAGCAACAAATGAACAACTCCATTTGCATGTCATATTTAGCGAGCCAGAAGCAGCAGAAATGCCAAAGCCACGCGCAACTTGCAATTGCGAGCACAAATAGACACAAGGCCAGTGCGCATTTAAGATCAGCTGCTCTTCGTCAGACACAAACTCCTCCCCATCTTCAAGTTGGCGCTGCTGCACAAGTGCGCTGCTCCGCAGCAGCAGCCTTTGATCCTAAGTGTCTTTGCTGCTCCTAAGTGTTTCCCCAGACGCCGCTGCTCGCAAGGCGCTGCGCAACTGAGACCCCTTTGCCGTGCAAATAAATGCTGCTGTAGCCTCTGCTGCAGCGAGCGGCAATTGCTGCGGCTGCCTCGCCGCCTTTTCGGCAATTCAGGGCAACACAGAACTTGCATTCCACGGAGAAGAAGTCCGAGAAGCTCAAGAACATTTGCCACTGTCACCCGAGGCTCCTGCGCCTCCCATGCAACGTTCACTAGCCGCATACAAGAGGTCACAGTGCTTTCTGCAGGTTCTGCAGCGCTGCGCAAGTCCTGCTAGGAACTGCTACGGGCTCGCGCTGCTGCTGCAGCTGCAGCAGCAGCAGTAGAGTCCAGAACAGCCTGCGGCCAAGTGCTCGAACCGCCGAAGAATCAGCAACTAAGGCCAGTGCACGGCACGCTTCCAACCCCTCGCAGCGGCGCTGCACGCGAGCTTAGTTTGTGCAGGCCCTCAGGGGTTTCACAAGAGATGAGACTGGAGTCATTCTTTGCAACTGGAATTGAAGTGCCACCAACCACACAGTCCCGCTAGGCCGACACAGACTGAGCCGTGGAAACAAGACAACGGGTGTCACTGCAAGACGCGAGCGCAATTCAATTCACTGCAGACTCTCCCGTGGCAGTGCTGGCCTTCAGCATCGCGCCCTGTTGCTGCTTAGTTCGCTGATCATCGGCGTGTTTGCATGCGTGCCCTGCTGCTGTGGTTTGCTGCGTTGCGCTTCACGAGCTAAAGCTCGTAGCTACCTTTTGCATGTAGCAGCCCTTTGCCGCTGCAGCTAACGGGCACGCGGGGGGCTGGCCTCGCTACGGCAAGCCAGGCATTTCCCCGCGCAAACGCATGCGGCGTTTTCGATTTGTAAAGCCCTGCGGCTTCTCGCTGTCGAGCCACAGTCGCTGCTACAGGCATTTTCACACGCGGCACAGAAACAGCATTGCTGCCAGGCAAGAGCAACAGTAGGCAGCTACCACTGGCCCCTCCCTCAGGATATCCCTCAAGTGCATTTCAGAAAACATGAACAGCTGGCTGAAGCGCGACTGCGCAGTGCGCACGGCTCGCGGAAAGGCTATTGGAATAAACCCAACCCCGCTGCGGCGGTCACGCCAGTTTCACTGCAACCCCTCGGCCGCCGTCTCACAGTTCGTGCACACTGAACGCATGCATGCGTCGCATGCATGCGTTGCATGCATGCGTCGCATGCATGCGTCTTTTCGTGCCGCTGCAGCGAAACTCGTGGCCGCGAACCAGTGCTGTTTCTATGGGCGTCGCCGGCGGGCGGGGCACTGCCACATGAAGCACTTTGGCACTTGGCGAAAATCAATTCTTACGAACACCTGGAGGACGGCGCGAGGCTTTTTTCAGAAAGAGTCAGAGGCGGAGTTCAGTTGAAGTTGGCCGAATTCACTACACAGCTTATACAGCTTCCGCTAGCATTTCAAGTGGCGGACGCCGCACGCATCCTTTGTTCCCGCTGCGCCGTGCACCACCAGCGCTCCCCTCTAGCTAGGCAGCAGCAGCAGCAGCAGCAGCAGCAGCAGCAGCAGCAGCAAAGACCTACCGGTCGCCGAAAAGAGACCTGTCGGGGTCGAGAATGGCCACCACCAAGTCCGCGTACTCCTGCGTGGCGTTGGTGTAAATGCTGAGTTCGAAAACGGGGGCCAGCGCCTTCAGAAAGCGCCGCAGCCCCGGCCGCAGCTTCAAGTAGTACACTTTCCTGTTGCAGGGCAATTCGAACTTGTACACTTCCGGCAGTCCGTCTTCGTCCAGCCAGTCTTCGAGGGCGATGTTGTAGCCGGCCACTCCCACGGCTTGCGCGTGCAGCAGCGTGTTGTCGAGGTCCAGCAGCAGCGGCAGCTTCCCCGACAGCAGCGGCTGCCGCTGCAGCTGCGGCGGCAGCGCGCTCGGCTCCCACTTCGCCTGCTGCTGCTGCTGCTGCTGCTGCTGCTGCTGCTGCGGGCAGGGGCTCTCTTGGGGCTCCTGCGGCGCGGGCTGCGGCGGCGGCGGCTCCGCCGCTTCGGCCGGCAGCGGCTGCGCTGCCGCCTCCTGCTGCTGCTGCTGCTGCTGCTGCTGCTGCTGCCGCTGCGCACTCGTTTCAGCCCGCGCCCTCGCGGCCAGCCGGGGGTCCCGCCGGACAGTGCTCGGCGCTGCTGCCGGCGGCTGCTGCTGCTGCTGCTGCTGCTGCAGCGGGGGCGCAACCGGCTGCGGGCCCTGCGCAACGTGCTGCGCGGGCTCTGCAGCAGCCGCCAACGCGGGCGCCGGCTTGCCCACAGCAGCAGCAGCAGCAGCAGCAGCAGCAGCAGCAGCAGCAGCCTGCGGCGGGAAAGCCGCAGGCAAGCCCTGCAGCTGGCCCAGGGAAGTTTGCTGCAGCGCCTGGAGCGCGGGGCCCTCCTCGTCAACTTCCCCCTCCTCCACTTGCGACACTTCACTCATTTCATCCGCCTCGAGAGCAGCAGCCCCCGGGAGGGCCCCGTTGGGGGGGGCCCCCG